TCATGTAGTCCCAAAAATAAATATGACTTCTGTGGCAAAATGCACTATGTGTTGTCACCAGCACTTGCAATTTGCACATACAGGAAAAAAAATTAAAAAGTCAGGAGAGACAACAGTGACACTCAATGTCCGGAACTGTCGCCTGGCAACTGTTTGGTTCAATCTGTGCATGTTTGAAAACATTATGTACACTTACGTCAATTCTTTGAGTAGCTGTCCAGTCAATAAAGTGATATCAATTTCATCTAGGCTTGCTGTCATGTTGTCTGAACCTCCTAAACTGTGTCTCACTTTGTCAGCCATACAGCTGAGCTATAATTTTGTGAAATAAAGTTATATGGTTCAGTAAATGAATGTAACAGCATGAACAGTAATCTGACAGGTGGATAGAAGTTAAGCTAATCTACAGCAAATTTACTGTACCGGATAATATAGACCAATGACAAGAATAATACATTGTCATAGCCATAGAGTGACAAAAGTGGGATAATTTGATGTAGCCATGACGACTGGAAAAGTGTTACCAGAAGCCCAGATAATTTAATTACTATCTATAATCACGTCAATGCCATTCTCAAAATAATAACTGTCTCACAAAATTATTATATTTATCTGATAGTTTTGATCTTGTCAATATTTAAAATACAATACATGTTGTCATTCAAAGATAAGGGCTATGTCAATACCTGTCTTTTATCCCATCCATCTTGTTCCATCAATACACCAACTACTGATATAATGGTATCATCAAGCAAAGACTCAATATCATCACACGTCATTCCTAAAGTTAGGGTACCCAGGAACCTAATAAGAAAATAAGATCCGTATCAAACTTGTCCTACATATGTGGGTTTAATATAGTTGTCATGACAACCAAGTTGGATTCATCACCTGCATATCCAACAAAAGGATACAATGCAGGCATATCACCAGCAGTGAAAATATGCGTGATTGGAAACAAACTAAACCAGTTCAAAATCTGTTTTTGTTTTTTTTGTTTTTGTATGTATTTGAAAACAACTCAATGGCTATCTGCTTTGGCAATGAAGCCCTGCGTAAAGTGGTTGGTATTTGACAATAATAGCTCAGTGACAAGAGTTTAATTTGGCATAGATAATGATGTCATAACAAATGCTGTCTTTGTTGAGAGTGATATACACATAAGCTATGCAGTACAAACAGAGCCCGTAAAATACAATTATTGGTGATGTAGACATCAATTCATTGCATCTCAAATCTAACATGTACTACTACTTAATTTGATGGATTAATCACACTTTATAAAATGAAACTTATCCCGACTGTGATGAGCTATAAGTATTTATCACTTTACCTGAGACTGCCTGCGGAAATCATATCTAAACCATCTGCAAACATCTGCTTTTTAACCACTTCACGGAACATCATCATACTCTGTCATTCAAACAACAATAAAAATTACTATTTATAATACAAACCTTGACTGTGTCAGTATTCAAAGCTGAGCCAGCTATTCTCTGGTTGTTTTTTTAAAATCACAGATTCGTTAATAATGGTCAGAAACAAAAGGCTTGATTTGTCAAAATCTGCATGCACAACTCCTTTGCACATCAATAAAATGTTTTGACAAAATTGTGAAGATGACTTGAAGCAATAACTAGCATAGCAGTATGTTTATGTTATTTACAATATTTGGAGTTAATAAATTACAAAACTGCATGGTAACAATCTTTAACCAAACTGTCCTATTCTATGTACGTTTGTATCGAAAAATTCAATGGTATAGACCATGATGTCAAAGTAGATGAGACAATTCATCCATCTTTAATGACAAGAAATAAAAACTAAAGGATATGATACATAAAAATGTTATGTTACCTGACTCTTCTTCCAGTGAATTTTACCAACATTAGACACTTCTGAGACATTGTCACCTTCCTGTTCAAATCCCATTTGTTCCACTGATATGGTTTCCAATGAACTCAACGGCACCTCAGAAGCCAAATCACCCATTTCTACCAAAACTTCACCAATACCGCCTTCAGTTTCTTTCAACTAAAATTCAAATGATAGGAGAAAACTACCAGTTAGCAATAACTGCATTAAAAAGGATTAGACTCAGTACTACAGGAATGCATGTATTAACTTTCTCACCACATGTTCTCTCTTTTCATCACAAATTCAGAAAATAGTCCTGTTTATAGTCTGCACTTTCCTTCAGAAGATTGGAACAAAAATAGCCAAATTTGTTGAGTAAAAACAGTAAATTGACTCAAATTTTGTGAGTTGGCCCCAAAATTAGAGTTCATTTCCAGAAATTTTTGAGAAAATAAGAAAAAAGTGCAGACAATTTTGGGCGGAAAGACTGGTGGGGAAAGGTTAACTGAATGAAGGGCTGATATCTGACTATAAATATTCACACACAATTATTTACATAACAATTGTACTTTTTAACCTGTGAAAAACTCAACTTCATAAACCACGAGTAAACAAGAGTAATCAGGATTACTTGCTTGGCATTATATATGTCACTTATTGTAAGTGAAGGCACTGGTAACTGCATGACGCCATCATGAAAACTCTTAATGCATAGCAACAGTCTGTTCCCATTGTAACAGTACTTTATACAAGCTTCACAAAATACCCCTAGAATGTATATATTCTAATATGCATGCAGCTAAGGGTAGATTAAACATACATGCACACAGAAACTGTTAGATTTCACAATCTTGCATGCACATATCCAGAACTAACAATTGAGTGCAGCTAATGTGTCGAAAAAACATTCTTTTCTTCAAGGGGTATTGACAAATGATTTTTAACACAAATTATTAAAATAATACAAACCTTTTTGATGATTTCAAACTTCTGAGTCTTCTTCATTTCTTTTCTGGCTTCCTTAAAGGTTTCCAATGACTCTCTAATATCCTGTGGTCTCATCTGTTTGAAGTCACTACTCTTCAATCCTGCAGCCAGTTTTCCAAGCTTTCTGAGTTCTTTGCCTGATATAGGCTACAGAAACAAACAAGAAATTGACATACATACATACAATGACTGAAAATGTCCTGAGCTGATATTCACTTTTATCAGCACATTTCTGGCCTATATTTTGGGTGCATATTTTATGCCCCTCCCCCAAAAGTCTTGATTAAAATATTAGAAAAGTCATGTGGCAAAAGGTTCAATATTCTCTTAACCTCAAAGTAGTACAAATGTAAGCTTGATAACAGTATTCAAATGATGTCACTATAATCATTCAGTCATGTGATTAATTATTCATGAGGATGTTCGATTCAAATAAACAAATGAGTAAACAAAAATTAAAATAGTGACAGACATATATGTTGTGGTGTTGAAATAATTTTTCATACAATAAACTTCTTCCGGATCACTAAAAATCATGGCAAAATAACTTAGTTGATGCTGAAAATGTCTATCATCTTTGCATATCATTTCATCTCTTTGAAATGCTTCACAGCATTCATTTTTATAAGATCTTGTAAACTTGACAAGCACTCACCTTAGCAGTATCATTTCGAGCACTTTTAAATTTATTCATTAGGACCTCCTTCTGTCGTTTACTAAAACTGCCTTTCCTCAAATTTGTAATCTCTTGAACTACAGCAGTGGCAGGAAGGTTCTTCAATTCTTTGACATTCAGACCACTAATAGCTGGACCCATGGTTTGAATTTCCTCAGCGCCCCAATCTTCAACTTTACCCATTGACTCTTTCATCTTTTTAGCAAGGTTCCTTACTTGCTGTAAAAACAAAAGAAGCAGATCCGAGATAAGCTCTAGCAGAATAAGTATATATAGTTATTTACTTGCACTCCCATATATCCAAACTAAGTTGTGACATTTTGGGACTACTTCATTGCAGGCGTCAGAATACATACTTTTGTAGTGGTGGTATGTCACCTGATCCCCCAAGTGTATTGATAAAAAAAAAAAATTATGTAAAAAGTAGTGCCATTGTTGTAACTGAAAATGGCAGAATATACAAGAAGTTAAACGTGAAAGCTCTTCGGTTTTTTTGATGTTTCGTGTGTTCCTTAGTCAATGCATCATATTAGTACTAATCATCAAATTGTTGTATGTGAAGATATTTATACAATGAATAACATTATTAAAGAGTTACAGCTGCCGCGCTGCACATGTCTAAACTTTTCATCAACAATAATTTACCCACACTGCATTGCTTTAGAAAGATGGCGACAAGTGAAGTAGTTTTTTTGCAGAGAGTGGAGGTGTCATGAATAAAAATCGTAGCAGCACTCCAAGCCTGCTAGCCTTTTTCGGCATATCAAGTTTGTGGCAGGGCATTGTGGGAGTACAATCATCACCAAATATTACAATTATTTCACTAAGAATAAAAATCATGGTTTAGGATGTTTTGTTTGTTGTCATGGCAATTACTATGAAAATACAATATGTTACTGACCGATCTAGTTCCATTGTTACTGGTGACTGATTTCACTAACATGTCACCTGTCTCTGCAAGCACATCACTGGGTAAGTTAATAATCTCTGAACTGTGTAAATACTGTACCAAGGAACCAAGGCTGAAAATTAACATAATGCCATTAACACAGGTAGCTATAGCAACAACACATTATGTACATTAAGGTGTTTTAATTGGGTTTCCATTAACACCTACATAAAGACTGTAATCATTTATTACTCATGTCTCCCAGTCTATTTTCCCAAACATAGTTAGACATCGAACAATTACCAAAATCTAGCAAAACGTTTATGATGGTTACTATCTTGAACAGTACACGAGTGGAAATGTTAAAATTTAAAGTTTGATAAAAGTAACATAGCATCCATAAAATAAGTAATATGTTCCTATTCTAAAGTATGTATCATATTTGCATCAAAATAGAGGCGTATAAAAAGAGGGCACCCACAATAAATTAAATAATCAATACATGTACACTTTGACATTTAGACTTACTCCTTGACTTGATCCGCAGTCCATTTCCATCCAGGAGACTGTGTTGCAACATTTACTATAATCCTACCTCGACTGTGTTCAAATCCAAACTTGCTGAGCATAGGCAACAAATTCATCATCTAAAACAAAAAGAAAATCAAACATGTATATCAACCTGAAAAGTTTTTTCTTTTGCGTTAAATTGAACAAATTTTTTTTTAGTTTTAAGGATGACCTCATACTTACAATGGCAGGACTGATAGTTTTCAGCTCGCTGGGTTCCATATATGCCATAAGAGAACCAATCATGGATAGTTTCTCCTCATCCCAGTAGGAGGTTTTACCCCAATGTCTTAATCCAGCTTGCAAAATAGCTCGTGCCTGGGCTGACTGAAGTTCCTTACGAATATTGGGTGTTAGGTTTTCGAGACTGGAGGTATTTAGTGAAGAAAATAAATTAGTTTATTTATTTCAAAAACAAAGATGGCCATTCTGGGCAGTATCATGTTTACTAAAACAAGGATGGGCATAAACATCAGAATAAATATTTCATATACAAATATGGTCAACTAATGGCCATACATGTATATAATCAACTGATGGCCATTTTGGTCAGTATTAGTATAAATATTTCCTAATAACTGATGGCCAACTAGTGGCCATACTTACAGCGCTAAAAATGTTTCTTTGTCTTTCATTCTCCTGATAGAATCAACACTGATAGAAGCAAGAAATGGTGATAGAAGCTCGATATCTTCAACATTCAATTTTTTACCAAAGTGAAATTCAAAAGCAGATATAATAACAACTCTAATCTCAGGTGATGGTGCTCCTTGTTCCTAAAATACAAAATTGTTAACAAAGTTTTAATTTTGATTCCTGGTTACTTAAAGTTGTATTGTCAGCACAATTTGGCAGTATGTGTACTGTAACAGTCATACAACAGTCATGGACATCTGCATCATCGATTGAGTTTTCAACATCTGGGATTCTCTGTTTGACGGTCAAAGATGAATTGTATTACAATATTATTATTACATAAAAACATTTTTCATTAAGATTATATTATTTAACAAAATAGTCATCTAATAACCTTTTCACTACATTGTAATCTTCCACAAAATAGTCCAATTAACCCTTTCACTGTACTTACGTTTTGTAACCATCCACAAAAAAATAGTTTGGTTAGCTTTTCACTGTATTGTCATGTTTTGTAACCTTCCACAAAATACTGTAAAATACTAAATTTTTGCTTGGAATTAATTTTCGCTCATTTCGCTGAAGGAGTGATTCAGTGAAAAAAATATTTCCATACAAAACACCCAAAAAGTCATTTCAGCGAAAATTAATTCCAGCTGAAATAAAGTATTTTACAGTAGTCCATTAAACCCTTTTACTGCATTGTCATATTTTGTAACCTTCCACAAAATAGTCCAGCTAACGCTTTCACTACATAGTCATAATTTGTAATTATCCACAAAATATTCGAAACAATAGGTGATATCTTCATCATAGCATTGCTTCTGTAGATATTATAAACCTAAATATTCTACAAAGTGATTAATACTGACAAAATAAGTTTACTCACGTCAATTAACTGTTGTGCATATTCAAGAAATTCTCTGAAGACTTTTGGATTGAGATGAGATAGAAGATGGAACAAACCCTCTGGACTGTTACCAACATACATAATAAGTTCACCGACATCTTCAGCAGTAAGACCTGACAGTACATTTGGCTGTAATATAATTGTAAGAGTATATTAAGCACTTTTTGTTCACATTACTGAGTGGTATAAGGGCCCTAATGAATTTATCATTTACTCAAGCAGGATCCTAGTTTCGAAGTATATTACTAAATTTGTGTGGATTCCCAGTAAAGAGATGTACAGCACAAGTACCAAACAATTAAAGTAGATGAAGTTTTGCTTGCGTTTTAGGTTTTGTACATAGTTAATTGTACTAATTAATAATAAACATTAGGGACGACATTAATCTTTTCACCACCAGACATTCTTGTCAACATTTTTCTGCACTTTTTTCTCATATATTTATAAAAATGAACCCTAAATTTGGAGCCAAGAAACAAAATTTGATCCAATTTTCAGTTTTTACTTTTAAAAAGAAAATTGGCTATTTTTGTTCCAATCTTCTTAAGGAAAGGGCAGACTATAAACAAGACTACTGACTATTTGGGAATTTGTGATGAAAAGGTGGTGAACAGGTTAACAATATGTTCATTTCAGGTAGATGGTAAAAAAAAAAAACTCTGTTATTCTGCTCTGGAAATATAGAATGTAATATAATTTACTTATTGCCTAATGCAAGTATACATATGTAAATTGAGAACTGATTTCTCAGCGTGGAGTGAACCAAGTGAGTATTGGTCACCGAATCCGGGAGGAGAATAACGCACTTGAGAGGAGCACTTGTAACTAAGATGTTTATTATTCAACTGCTAGGCCTGGAACTGAGCCAGAGTGCTCACAGATGTTTCATACAATGTATCAATATCATTATGCAAATAACTACACTTAAGTCTTACATTCTTGACTACACTACCTACTTACAACCTTCATATATGCTTTGTTTGAAACGTCAAGCTGGTTACTGGACAGTAATATCTAAATATTTTTAGTAATCAGTCCTGTACTATATATCTGTTTTAAACAAGTCATCAACAACTGACACCAGAAATTTATCTAATTTTATTTTCTGAAGACATCAGAGCGACTCACTGTCCAAAGAATAATTCTCATTCATAATCAAGGTTGTTTATTTATATTAATATAAATTTATATAATAAATATGTGGAATACAAAACCAATGCAGTTTATATGATTCCACTGTAAAACTGTAAACCACAAAAGTTTTGTGTTTTGTGGATTATTCCACAATCAAGAAGACAAAATGTTGCTGCAGATGCTGACATTGTAGAGCCCCAGCAAAATTTCTACTAGTACAAAATTTCATGATTTACACTGACTCACATGAAGACATGAAAACCCAATCTGATTAAAATCTGATAAATTCATTAAACAATGTTTACTTACATTGAGTCTCTTTATGATACTTTCTGGCAGTCTGGCAAACTCTTCCATACTCAATTCGTTTCCTGCCAATCCAAGTTCTTCTATTTTTTCCTTGATTACATCGGGCAGTTTGTCCAACATTTCATGCAACCTGTAATGATATAAGTGACATGCTATGAAATGACTCATCCTTTAAATG